ATATATACAGCATTCAGAAAAACCCGTGTCCTTGCATAGACATGTTTCTGGCTGAATTCTAAAACGATTTTTCCTTTACAAAAATTTTATCCGACACTTATTTTTTGAGTTATTAAAGGATAAACTTAGCGAATCACATGTCGCGAATAGAAGATAAAGAGAGGCGACATCGGGCACATTTACTGTCTGACGCGAGCGATCACCAAAGAGCACTCGTTGCAAACAGCTGTCTAAAGACATAGAGTTACTCTGTCTCACATAATAAACGCTCACACACGCGCGCGCTCACACACACACACACACACACACACTCTCTCTCTCTCTCTCTCTCTCTTTCTCTCTCTCTCTCTGTCATTTGCAGAGATTCGTTATCTTCATATCGTCGTTTCTTGACGGATGAATTTCACTCAAGTTGAAATTTTGCTTCTACTTTAAATAATTTTAGGACGTATGTAAACTCTAGATTTACAATAGGTTCTAATCTAATGAATTGAGTACCTATGTTGAGCTTGTAAATGATTCATTATCAGTTATTGGAAAATTTCTTATTTTTAGGTTCAAAAGAAGTTTTCTGAATAGAAGTTGTAGATTAAGTAATATTAAAAAAGGTCCTATTTGATTTTTCAAATATCAAAACAGATTTATAAGGTTTAATTGAAGTTGAAAGAGTTTCAAAGTAGGATTAAAATTTCGACTCACGATCGTAAAGAAGCAATATGAAAACTCTTCACATTTCTGTGTGACAAATTTCAAGTAATGAAACAAGAGTTTGTTTTCTTTCAAAAGTAGTATCTAAAGAACTGTAACACTTTCATCACTGATTTACGCGCGCACTTGATCGATACTCGAGTCGATGCCATAAGAATGATTTACGAAGAACAATTTACGAACTATTCTATCAGTTTATTATTATTAATTAGTATCGACTAATTATTTAACTTGAAATCATTAGAAATAAGAAATGCATTATATACAACATATACCTCAATATGATCCGACGCAAAGCTTGATCTCGACGAACTTGACGATAACACTCAAGCAGGTTAGATTAGGTTAGGTTAGGTTAAGTTAGGTTTTACGAACAGAATTAAGAGTAACATAATAGAAATCTAATTTATCGGTCGGCCGCTTGTAATTGTTGGTAAGTCAGACTGCGACTAGAAGCTTGATTATAGCATGCTATAAAAGCAAGTAATAAAAGCATGCTATAAAAGCAGGTAGTTCATTTGACATTACGAATGTATGCTTCGAGATAATTCACGCGCTAAATCATAAGGCTTGTTCGCGTCGCAGCATGTTCCAGCATGCTCCAAGCATCAGCATGCTTATGCCAACTCCTATTCACTTTGACGAGTCCATTAGAACAAATTTTACGATTCAGCATGTGATCTCGAAGCACACATCCGTAATAAACCAATAATATCTATTTGTAACCAATGTCAGATTGTCAATCATGTCAATTATCATTATTTTTCCATGTCCTCGGGAAATTGTCTATAAATTTTTTCCTTACAATATCCCACAAGAAAAAATCCAATGAGTTGAGGTCCGAGGATTTTGTTGGCCAGCGTATCGAACCATACAGGCCATCTAATATGAAATTAATTTAAAAAGTAACAATTCTGGCGTTGTGGAATGCTATTTCAAATACTGATTTCCGGTTCTTGTTCAACGGCACGAAGAACTGTTTTTATATTTCTTGGGTAACGCTGCCTACCGGCGTCTTTTTTCTTTGGCAGGACGCTTTCGGTTTTGTACAATCTTTTTACTGTTTCGAGTATAACGCTGGCATGTGGACGTTTTGCTCTATTTGGATATAACTCAATCTTCTTGCAACATAATATTGCCAATGACACTCGCCATTGTGAGCATATCATAATATTTTTCGTTACTGTACGTTGCTATTTCTTGAGCCTTCACTTCTATGATAAGAGTCGGGCCATGCACCGCGACGCGGATTGGTCGCTAGGAATGGAAAGGCGCAACCTCTCGCGAAAATCGGATAAATACGGGGACTGATCAATCCGTAAATCAATAATCCCTCGAGCATCGCGAAAGATAAAGTCGGATAATATAAAGATTAGTTATTAAGTTAGGATAAGAATTAATATTATTTTGGGCATTATAGAGAAATGTTTAAATACAGGGTGGAAGAATACTTCATTCAAGAATACCTTATTACACAAAATTATTGATTTAAGAAATGTTATTTATCAAAATACAAAGAAATAGTACAAACTTACAAACAAACATTAAAGATTTCCACAAAGCCTATTATCGACAAATTATAACTCTGTAAAGTAGACTCGAATCGTTAGTCAGACATTTGTAACATATGAAGCCATGAATTATACAACATTAGTTTAATTTATAAAATAAGACTCGTGAGTATTCAACTTATACACTTTTAATTGAACAAACACTAAGATCTAACATTTTATTATATTTCAACACACTGATTAAAATACAAATGACTAAAATACAATTAATAAACATGAAATATTGTACAACAACACCTACAATACTTGTGTAATACTTATCTCAATGATAAATTATCATTCATCTCATTTATATTCAGTTTAATATACAGTGTTTCGATTTTTATCTCTGAGAGTCGTTTGAAATAATCATAAGGCAATTATAACCTATTAATCACATAAGATATCAGAAATAATGGACACAAGTAATGCAATTGTACATCAATGCAGAATTAATAGATGCAAATTAATATATACCATTGTCGTCGGAATCTCTGAAAAAGGCCCAAAAAAGAACAAAAACATGTTAGAAGTATCATAAATGTATCATAGATAACCGAATACGATCAAGTATAGAAAGTAATTGTCGCGCGTTATTTACTGTGCTTGACTTCTATGCTTTTATATCGTTTTTAATTTGAATTGAAAAAGACATTATTTTATATTAACCTAAATAAACCCTTTGTTGTTCCAATGCCACCAATCGACTGAAGAATTTGTCCATCATGATTGAATATCTATACAAAAAGGTTGTATTTTATTTATAATATTTATTAGTACAACAATAATAATGCAATGCAAGACAAATTTATAATTTTTGTACATATTTAATTTGTCGAAATATGTAGGATTGACCATCGATCTCGAAAAGTGCTTCGTACAAAAACTGTGTTATATAGTATTAAAAACATTATGTTTGTAGGGATCGTAAAGTGTTATCGATTCTATAGTAATAGAGATGGAATCAGAGTTTGGCCAACTGAAGTTACCGTCATTTTTCATCAAAATTGTGCGAGAGAAAAATCGTGCTCTCTCACTTCATCTTACTCTACAGTGGCGCTGTAAGTTGCAACTTTATAGAGACGCTCTATAAGTTTCATAGTTTTTGATAAACATTCTTGTACGTTCAGGTGACTAGTTGGCGATTAAAATTTAAAGACACAGAAAAATTTAATTGTATCTAATCATAAATATTATGATAGCAATGGGCATACATCATGCATTTTACTTTAAATGTATTTTCACGCATTTAAATGAAACATGTCGAATCAATCATAATCCAGAGAGAAGGTGGCCAGATTAGAGAGTTTTTATATCGTAGATGACGCGTCGTATTCTGACTAATACTAAACCCACAGAAAAAATTTCTACATTCAATGTTATTACTCTTCAATCTAAAATAAAATAAAATATACCATAGAGCCAATCATTTATTCTTCAAAAAAGAATATTTTTTCTCAAATAAAAAATTCTAAAATTAAATCTAATAATAAATCTAAAAATAAATCTAATATAATATAAATTCTCACGGAAAGAAGTTTACAGAATGTTAATAATTTTTCATTTTTTGGCAATGAAAAACTGAATCTGATTGGAACTTGAATTCAGAATCTCACGTTTTACATGTGTTTCGCCTAGCGCGTTACACCACAAAAGCTTCGCTTCTGCTATCACGTATGCATGTATCCCAAAAAATCGCCAAATATTTCATGGGCAAGAGCGGACTAAACTGAGTCGAAAAGTCCCATACCATTTTGTAAGTTTTATCAATAGTTAACGAGATATTAATCCTTAAAGATAACCAAATGGCATGCTCGCCCGGCCTACTACTCCAAAGTATATATGTCTACCGATCGCTTGACGCACGGGTGGAGAGCGGGGATAGTCTAGCGCTATCCGAGCTCCATGGAAGCTCGCGGCGGCGCGGGAGTTCTTACCAGGTAGTCCCCGTCAAGCTATCAATGGCAAATATTCGGCGCTTTAGAAATTTATATCTCAATTGCAAAAATTGGGCGAGAACTTTTCGAGAATTCAATTTAATTCATTTTAAAGCGTGCGCGTATACATACAGAAAAATGTTACATAATTATTTATTTCAAATAAATAATAAGTGTATTTTAAAAATATATTATCAAGAAAATATTCTTTGTAAAGATAATCGTTACTAAAAAAATGAAGAATAAAAATTTAGCACTAGAATAATATTTTGTTGTATGTATGTACACAAATAATAATTGACGCACTTAGAGAAAGATTTCTTCGATTCAAAGAAATGTTTCTTTGTTGTTCTTTTGTAATTTCTGTAGTAACTGATAACTATCATTTCTACACTACCTTACGGTAGATAGCATTTTTTAAAGTGATATCCCCAGTAGATCTAATTATTATTCTTGCATTTTAATGTTTGAAATGCCTTCGTTATTCTCGTACATAGATTTCGACTCTTCGAGTAATATTGCGCATCACACGACCATTTTTGGCATAATGGTATTGAAGGCTACGAGAATTGCTTCTTGTACCTCAGCTTCAGTACCATCACAAATATAATCAACTAAATCTTTAATGACACCAAATGAAATAATCGAGCACGTTAAGTTCGATAACCGCACTGGCCAAATGATTAGGCCACCTCGACCTATCCACCTGTGGATAGCGTGTGAGATAGAATATTGCGTACCTGCCATGAAAAACGCGCAGAAGTCCCCATCGTATTGGAAAATATGTTCCTTCTGTCCGCGAAGAGGAACGTCTTCGAGAAAGGCCGGCAACCTATTTTCCAAAAAGTATTTATAGTTATTGTAAGTTTCTCCTGTTAGGCGTGGCGGGAGAAGGAAGGGACTGATCTGAAAATTGTCATAAGAGTGTGATTTTAAAAAGTGCGAGAGAGAGAGAGAGAGAGAGAGAGAGAGAGAGAGAGAGAGAGAGAGAGAAGAAAGAGAGGAAGAAAGAAATAGAGAGAGAGAAAATGTCTTAAATCATTAACTGATTATTACATCAATTCAATTTGCTATTACTCCTACTCATTACGTTTATCACTCACCGATACTGGAATGCACCTTATCGAACAGCGTGCGAATTTTCAACTCCCAAAGTTATTATGGGAGTTGAACACGCCATTCGGTGTGAAAGTTCGCTTCCGTCCACAGGATGCGATCGAGGAGGACATTCCGCCGACGCTGCTATGTTCATTTCGCCAATAGTTAATACAATATTAATAATTAACTGTTAATATTTTGACAGTTAATATTTGAAAAATGACAGTTAATATTTCTTAAAAACGAGGACATTTTATAAAAATAATAAAAGCAGATGCACGGCCCTTCATCTCGCGCAAAAAGCATATTTCGAAAGAAATCGAATGCACGTGCGACATAACGCACGCTCTAAGTTTTATTTGAATGCTTACAGAATATATTCTCTCTTCAACTTTCACGCAAACACGCATTTTTGCTCCAGCGTATCACCGAGATTGCAACACTGATCCCGAAAGCATTGAAATTATCTATTATAAAAAAACGGTCTCATCTTGTTTTCGCTCAGATTCCGCGTAGAGACGAATAACGCCGCGCAAAAGCATTGTTCATTTGTTATCAACTTCATTTATTTTTTCACAACAATCCATCGTTCAATCATACAGTCTTGACATCGCTCCAGGATATAGGATTTATTTCGAGAAAATAGCAAATTATAATCTTCAGGAGCACACGCCGATATAGGCTATTATGTACGATGTAGCCGAAAAAAACGCTCTTGTCGCAGTCCATCTCTACGCAGAACAATTTTCCGAGCGCGAACAACATCAAAGATTTAGTCGAACATATTTGTGATGGTACTGAAGCTGAAGTACAAGAAGCAATTCTCGCAGCTTTCAATATCGTTACGTCAGAAATGACACTGCACGACGCGAAATATTACTCGAAGAGTCGAAATCTATTTACGAAAATGAAGGCATTTTGAGCAATTCTTGCATTAAAATGCAAGAATATAATTAGACCTACTGAGGATACCACTTAAAAAAAATGCACCATGTTATGTATCGCAAGGTGATGTGGAAATGATAGCCCTATATCAGTTTTTTGCCACAGAAATGACAAAAGAAGTTATTTCTCGACTCGCGAGTCTGTATCATATTTTCTTTAATCATACAGCAAAAAAACATTTCTTTAAATTGAAGAAATCTTTCTCTGAGTGCACCGATTAATAAAATTTGTGTATGTACGTGCAACAAATTTTTATTCTTCATTTTTTTTAGTAATGATTACCTTATTAAAGAATATTTTCTTGATAATATATTTTTAAAATACACTTATTATTTACTTGAAATAAATAATATTTATGTAACATTTTTCTGTATGTACACGCGTACGCTTTAGAACGAATTAAACTGAATTCTCGAAAAGTTCTCGCAATTTTCGCAAATAAGATATAAATTTTTATAGCGCCGAATATTCGCCATTGATAGCTTGGCGCGCGGAGAGCAGGGATTACCTGGCAAGAGCCCCGCGCTGCGCACATTGCCGCGAGTCTCCATAGCTCGGATGGTGCGCTTGTCAGGCTCCCCACGGCCCGCGTGCCAAGCGATCGATAGATGTATACATTTCGCAGTAGTAGGTTGGGTAAGCACGTAATTCGGGTATCTTTAAGGATTAATATTTCGTTAATTATTGGGGAAATTATTGGGCAAAATGATACGGGACTTTTTGACTCACAAGGGAAGATTCACAACTGTCCGGAACCGATTTGATTCTTCAAGAGATATGCAGTTAAACACAAAAATCTAAGAGACGCGTATTTTTTTTATAAGTGCGCTAACTCATGTTTAAGGGATGAAATATCCTTTAAAAAAAAACGGAATTTTTTTTCAAGGCAAATATCGTCGGAAATATAAAAGATAGAAAAAAATTTTTTTAATAAAAGTTGTACGGATTTTTCTCTCGAATTATTCTCTCAAGAATACTTTAAAGTTATAGATAAAAAAAATTTTATTTACTTTTTTATTTAACAAAATACCTCTACCACCCATTTTTTTAAATTTTCAAATTTTTTTTACCAAATTAAAGATTATTTTTTTACGAATTCAACCATGTGTAATAAAGTTATATTACAATCATTTTTGAGAATTAATTATTAACGCTTCCGTATATACGTAATCCATGCTCATATGCGTAAGTAATTGTCATCGAACAGTAAAATATACTTGAAAAGATGTCTTAAGTAAAATTTGTATAGGTTTCTATATGCTTTAATATATATGTATTTAAATTTTATATACAATATACATATGTACAATATACATATGTCTTTAGATTTTCTAAATACATAATATTTTTAAGATATATATATATA